GGAAAGAGGCAGTATCTAGCTGTTCACCAGAACTGCCGCTAGTGAGTGTGCTGCATTCACTTTCTTTCCCCCTCCACATCCCCCCCATCTCTCTTTTCGGCCCAGTCTCCAGGTCTTTGTCTGAGCCTGCCTTGTTTGCCCGATTATTCTGTCATTTTCTATCCCTCCATTAAAAATCTGATTTATGACCTCTTCACCCCTCTCCCCCCTCCCCATCATTTCTGTCTCTACATGTGTTTACGCACACACAACACAGTGCATGGGAGACGTGTCAGAGGGGGCACTGGCATAACTGTGCATCGCATGAATCTTGGTGCGGTCGGAGGGGGCTGCAGCAGTGTGTGTAACACGCACATAGGCTGATTGAGGAGATCTAACATTAGTACGGACACTGCACTCTCGGGAGGCAATTAACACACACACACGCACGGTGCTGCGCCACCTAACATCAGAGAGGTGTTCTCGAAAAAGGGGAAAAAAGCAGGAAGATGCATTCCCAGTCTTCATCTCTTTCTCCCATCTTTTTGTCATACTTCTGTCCTCTCACACTCCTGGGTAGCTTCAGTCTTCTCATCCCTGTGGTGTTAACAATCAGCACATGAGGATTCTGACTCATGAATGTGCGCAGATTCGCCCGTTTTGAAGTTGAAGGCATGTTTTGCTCCATGTTGTGTTAAAGTGAGGTGTTAAAAACAACTTTGCCTGCCATCATTTTCACCAACTACACCTGCACAAGGTCGTTTTGTACCCTTTCATCAGCTGATCATCAAGTGAATAACTGCATGCACAGCTGCCATTAGCGTGTGATTCGTCGTTTGTAGTGGAATGTTGATAATACACATCTATTTCTCTCTTTGCTAAAATTTCTGCCCCTTTTCTCTCCCCGCAGACTTCTCAGACTCCTCCCTCCTCCTCCCTTCGGTTTCTCTCATCCTCTCCCTCCCTCCCCCCGGTCCTCTATGCTCAGTTCAGTGTGTGTATCCTCTTTCAAAGGGCGCAAGGGTGGGAACAAGTCGTCCAACAAAGCATGTTACAGCGCAGACATGACTTGTCCGTCGGAAAGCGAGAAAATCGTGATAAACTGCGGGGGGGTGCGGCATGAGACCTACCGGAGCACCCTAAAAACGTTGCCCGGTACCCGCTTATCTTGGCTCACCGAGCCGGACGCATTCAGCAACTTCGACTACGACCCCAAATTAGACGAGTTCTTCTTCGACCGCCACCCGTCAGTGTTTTCCTTCATCCTCAACTATTACCGCACCGGGAAGTTGCACTGTCCCAATGATGTGTGCGGTCCCCTGTTCGAAGAGGAGCTGGCCTTCTGGGGCATCGACGAGACAGACGTGGAGGCGTGTTGCTGGATGAATTACCGGCAACATCGGGATGCAGAGGAGGCACTGGACAGCTTCGAGACTCCAGAACCGGACGCGCCTGACGACGACCCGGCCCTGGGTGGTGCGGATGGGGATTTAAAAAGACTGTGCATGCAGGAGGACACAAGGAAAGCGGGCTGGTGGAAAACCTGGCAGCCTAAAATATGGGCACTGTTTGAGGACCCCTATTCCTCCAAATATGCCCGGGTGAGTTACCCATATGTCTCCTGGAGGGACCAACTTGTTTCTATACTGTTGCATATTCTTCCTGGCAATTTCTAGGACCACTGCTCGAGTCATAGGAAGTTTTAAAAACTTTGTTTTTTAAGGTTTTGTCCACATTATATCTGCAGAAAACCAGTCCTTCACAAGTAACTGTAGACCACTGACTGTTGTATGTCATCCCTGTCAGTATATCGTAAATGGCAGGATATAGTTCTGCTTAATAATTAATGCTGATAGCATAAGAAAAATGGAAAATGGTATGACAGCTGTATCTGTTGGTAGATGAGAACTAGTTAATGTAACAACCCAGGTTTTTATCAAACACATCGCCTTCACGTTTTTGACTTGACATGCTTCAGACGAGCTGGATTCACACTGAATGTCGTTTTTTATTGCTATCATAATTTCTGTCGCTCCTTGAGCAGTGTTAATGCACATCTGCCTGCAAATGCAGCATCGGCTGCACGTCCTGCATCCAAACGCCTTCATTAGGTCATATTTGTCCGTTTACGATGCACATCAATGCGCCATATTTCATGTTGGTCTTATTTATTGTAGCACCGCATAGAGGAGGCTCATATGACGCCGAATCAGTGTTGAAAGACATGTCTTTTGCCACATTTGCCCTTGGCACTACTACACTCTGCTGGGTAGTTTTTTGCCAACCCCCCCTGTCCCAGTTGAATGCTACATGTCTTTTACGCACCGGTTTTGTTGCTGTTACGCATATAGGATAGCCTTTACTGTTTTCATGTAAACTCTACCTCTACCTCTTAAAAGCAAAGGTTTGATGGCATTTGATTATACAGGTATTGCAGTAACAAGTACTGTACCTCTGACCGTGCTTTTGATCTGTGGTACATGAAAACAGTTAGAGAGGGCTTGTGTTTCTTTTTTCTCAGACCATCCAGTTACAGACGAATCCTGCTGCTTGATCACAGTTGCTTTGATTTGTGTTTTTGTCTATCCAGTGATATAGTTTGATCAGTCTTGTCTTACACCTCACTGTGTTTTTTTGTAAATACTATTTATATGAGGGTGTGTGAGGACCCATTAGCATTGTGAATGCATGCATACTGTAGGTGCACATGCAAAACCAGACAGCCAGCAGACACCTACAGTGGCCACAGTTCATGCCATCACACTGAAAATAGCTGAATGTCTGTGTGAAAAAATATTGAAAACATCAGTCACTGCACACTCAGCAATACATACTGTACTGTACAATCACAGATGAAGACAGTAGCTGCACACACAGGTCTTACTATGTTATTCCAAAGACACACACATACACAGACCTCATCTAGCACCAGGTATAGATCTATATATCTGAATTGAGTTTCCTTCAGTGGAAGAGGAAAATGTCCAGCTATGACAGACAGTCTGGTTTAGGCCATCTGATCTGCGACTCTAGAGTTGGGATCAGGTAGGAAGTGTTTCACTAACTGTCACTCCTGTTTCAATTGGATTGATTTCTCATTATTTATAAATCTAATTCATGCACTAAAACTACTTGCAGTGGGCTAGTTCTTCACGGAATGTCCAAATGTTGCACGAGAGGGAGACAGCTTTAGTGTCTGAATTTTCATATGGGCAACTATGTCAAGGCAAAAAGATCAAATGTGTGTGTAAACAGAAGCGGATCTGGTGCTGAATTCTGAATTAATTTAGAGCAAGACGAGGCAGCGTTTGCAGCACTGCCATACCTTGGATAGGAGCTCCTGTACCTGCTGCCTATCTACTAGAATGCTGTATATTATGTAATCATCAGTTTAACACCACATCTGCGGGTTTACACTGGCCAACTCATGAATCATACAAAAACTAACATTGAGTGAGTGCAGTGGTTGCAGGTAGGGTTATGCAGAGTACAAAGCAGGTAGCATCTGTGGGTGAATGCAGCCCCATTTCTTTCTATAGGTCTAATATGCCAGTTCTATTCCTCAAACAGCGATGTGACCCAGATCACTCCTTTTTTTCCCAACACTCATTCTTTTAAAAGTATCCTGTCCAACGTGGCAGAACCTTTTGGTCCTGAGAGATGCAAATTATATGTGGAGAGAAAAGACAGAGAAATGAAGAAAAGGAGATGCTGATATGGAAATACAATGAGACAGACTGGCAAGAGACAGAGATAGGAAGACATGCAATAGAAAGACACAGTAGGAGAGACTAATTATTTAAGGGGGTTTTGTTTGCATAGCTGTGATGTAATGCATCAGCAATGTTTTGATCAGAGTGTTCAATGTGCATGCAGGGTCTGTTTTTTTATGTCACCCCCTTTGCTCATGATCGTGTAAGGCTTATTTATGGATCTACCATATTGCACACACATGTACAAATACACACATGCTGGTGTCTGTGCTGACTTTTCTGCTGCAGTAGACACTGGAGAGAGGAGGGGGAGCACTGGAGGAAGAGGAATGAGCTGGATGGGGTAGGAATGAGTGGGATAGGCAGAGCAAGGGAAATGGAGAAGGGGTAAGATAGTGGAGAGAAACAGAAGGAAAAGGGGCTGAAGGGAAGCCTGAGAGGGACACTGAGGAAGATAAAGAGGAGGAAGAGGGAAGACGTGATGACCACAGAGTGAAAGCTGTTGCATGTTGGGGGTGGGGACCCTTGTCTTAGCATCTTCAATTATCTGAGACAAATTGAACCATTCAGTCTTCCTACTCTGACCCTCTTTCCCACTTTTTGATTGATATTTTACTGATCATTTTGTCTGTTTTCAAAACTATTCTCTCTTTGTCAGCTCTTAAAATTCATACAGAGACTGGATTATTCTGATCTTTTGGCTGCTAATGTGACTGTTAACCCATTGACAAAATTTATGGATGAATGTGTTTCTGATAAGGTGTTATACAAAATGATTTGCATCTGATTTCTTGATTGATTCATGGCTGGTTGACATACGTAAATCTTGCAGTACAGTTAAAGCAACAAGGAACTGTTCTATCATGTTGGACAGATTTTTATCTTGGCCCCTTTTATCCTTAGTTTATTCTAACTTAGCTTTTTAAATTCTAATCTGCCTGAATGATAATGACCCAAATCAAATAACCACTGATCCACTAGTTTTGTATTGTTTGGTTATTGAACCAGAGGTAATCTAGTTTGTGTAGTCACTCATTCAGCAGGTTGAACATACACTCACTGGCCACCTAAGAAAGTGGCTGGTGAGTGTATGCTGTTAAACTAAGATGGAGATTAAAATATTTGATTATTATTATTGTGACCTCCTTAAAAAGTTACTTTACTTACCTAGTAATTAATTTCTCACTAGTATTGTTTCTTCTGACAGCTGTCCTGTTGTTGTCTTATAACAGTACCACAGATTTGGCTGTATATTGGTCACTTCCCACCAGAAGGGCACAGTTGTCTTTGTCAGCAATCTCCTGACTAAACACCATTTGTTACTCAGCATGTACAAGATGCCCCTGTGCCCCCTTCCAAATCGGAGTTTGTGTGCCTGTATTTGATTTATTTTTGGGGTGCAGCACTGAGTCCAGACCGGCCCTCTCCCTAAAACTCATGTCTTTTGATCCATTGTTTGCAGTTCTTTTCCACAGTGTTGAGTGCTGTTATAAACACAAATGTGACCTACGACTGCACTAGATGGCCTCAGAACAGGTTGCCCTCCAGGTAGAAAATCAATGTACTGAACAGAAAATTTAAAAAAACAAAAGAAGAAGTATTGGTAGGTATCTATATACACTACCTGTCAAATGTTTGGACACACGTTTTCATTCAATTCAAGGGGAAAGTGTGCACACACAGTTTAAGGTGACATTGCCATTTTTGGCAAGGATATAGCATCATATTTCTAGGGGAGAAAAACCTGTGAGCTTCTTAAAAAAACCTTTGTCAGGAAGGTCTTACATTTCATTTTCAACGAAGCATGCTGTCCTCTTTTAATTTTATCCCGAATCAAGACACTCGTTTTTACCGTATACTGGGTCACTTCTAATTTTGAATAGTCTTGTGAGATTTTTTTGCACCAGTTTTGTTTGCCTCAGAGCCACGTAGTTCCACGTACTGTACCTTCCAACTTTGGTTGGGGCTCATTGGGAATTATGGAGAAGGTGACTGTTAATTGTTTGTGCATGTTTCAGCCAGTCTCAGAAACCCTGGACTCTATGGCTCTGTTATTTGTTGTGTATACCTTAGCCACTACTATCATTATCTTTAAAAAATGTATCTCGCCTTAAAACTATAACAACAAGATCCTTTGACCTATTGTACAAACATCGTGTAATCTAGTAATTTCTTGTTATTTTGATGGTACTCTTTGGTGAACCTGAAGGTCTTAAGAATTCAACACAGAATTCAACTTTTGGTATTCATGCTTCCAAAATGTTTCCATTCAATCCCCAACACCACTGAAAGGCCTATTTCCCATTTCCATTCTTGTTTCTCTCCCAGTTGGCTGTATCTGAAAATAGCCAGAAGAAGGAAAGGAGGCCTTAATTTCATTTTATGGTGGCAAATCTATTCCTCCACTACTGATGAGAGGATGAGACTGTATGACCATTCAGCACATAGGTGAACATATGAATTTGAGCATCACTTGGCAGAGATGGAGGGAGGTATTCTTAGGTGCTCACCAAGTTTATTAAGGTAAACCGTTTTCCTCAACCAGTAGCTGCTAGCAGAGGCGTGATAATTAGTCAACCTGACCTTCCTGTGCCCACAGTTGCTAAACGTATCATGTTCAATTTTCCCTGACAGGGCTTTGTACTGTTTTGTTCTCTTTAAACGGTTTAATTCATTGCAGGATGTTTTATATTCTGACTATTTTGATATACTAATCCTACTAACTGCATACATTGAGTGACAATGTCGCAGTGTCCAAGTAGTTTGTAGCTCTAAGTTAGTCTCCTGGATGGCTTAGCCTGTCGTCATGTTACATTTCAAGAAAAGAGAGATGGAACTGAGAAGCTAATCAGATTTATCAATCACCAGTAATATTTTTAATGAGAATA